GAGTTTCTATTGCTCACGATCAACTACTTTATTTATTTGTAGGTAAAAGCATCTGCACCGAATCTTTATCCCCATTTTTCTTTCTTCATTGCGAAGTTTCAAACCCATTTATGCTTCGGGGGGAAAAAAAAAGCATTTATGCTTCTCTTCCAGTTTTTTATAGGAAGTAAATAATAGAATTGTGTTGCTTAAGAAAGTGTTAATTTTACTAAAAAGTTAAAAGCGATAAACATGAAAGAAATATAACTTTTTAATTATGATTTTATTTATAAGAAGGTAACTGAGAGAGAGAAATAATAACAAAAAAAAGAATTTATAAAAAATAATGTAATTAATTATGGGTAAGATTGATCTTATAGAAAAGATAAGCGGGAGTAAAAACTGAGATCAATCCTATTTCAAATAACATAATATAATTAAAATATATAAAAATATTTATATATAATTACAAAAAATTAATTTTTTGTTACAAAAAATAATATTTAAATAAAAAGACATTAATTTATAAGTATATGAGACAGTGATATATAAACCACATAAAACTCAACCAAAAAAGTTGTTGAAGTACGGATATAATGGATCCTTATTTTATTTTATTTTTATCTTGAAAAGATGTCGTTTCGGGCTTACCAGGAGGGTAAAAAAAATAATACAGCCCCTCTAATCCAATTCTAATTAATTTTTAATGTAAAAATTAAATAATTAATTTACAGATATCATTGAATTATTTAATTTAATCATTTATTAACAAATATAAATTATATTTTTTTTTGAAATACCCGCTTTAATACTGTGCATTGAAACTACTTATAGATAATAAGTCCTTAATATGTGCAATCAGATTAACTTAAGAAAAATTTATAAATTTGGCAAACAAAATGGATTGAAGGTAGTACAATCCAATTAGATTGACTCATTCAAAATTCTTGACCAAACTAATTAGAACGTTGTTAGAAGATTGATTTACATATTCACTGAAATGATTGGGATGAGGGGCCTAATATGACAACTACTCTGTAACCTTTTTCTGTTTTTGGTTTTTGAAGTCAATAGTCAATATTCAAGAGCCTGATGCAAATACGAGTAACGAAGCAAGTCTTTTCTCTTTCTTCATGTGAAAGCATTTTTTTCCCAATGAAAACTAAATATTAGTACCTCAAGAAAGAAGAAACAAATACGACTAACAAATATGGATTAGCTAAGCTTCCTTTATTACCATCTATCTCAAATTAGAGGAAAGATGAGGTTCGATCAAAGATGCAATAGTTCCCTTCAAAATCACGAGACATCTTGACAAAGTGGTTCACTATAGGGTTGTCAGCTCTAAGGATATAATTCAAATGAACCTGCCAATCTCCTTCACGTGAAGGTATCAAACCATTTAACCATTTCTGGATTTTATTTTTTTTAATTAACGTAATGCGGTGGGTCTCCTGGCGATGCTAAAGATGGCATGATGTTGCTAGCTCACTATCTGAGGCAAATTAAAGTAACTTTAAATGATTCTCAGTTTTCAAGTCCTTAATTTACCAATATTTAATTTTGGTTACATGCGAAATATGAAGAATAAAGATAATAATAACACGCACTAACTGAGTAATTTTGATAATTATGGGAATGCGAAGATTTTAATTTTTCTGGTTACATGGGAATACAAAGAATTTGATTCTCGATCTATGATAATAACGAGAAAGAATCTGATTCTCGATCTATGATAATAACGAGAATGAACAAATGATAGATATGCGAGTTCAATATTAGTGTCAGATGAAATTAGGAAAAATTAATTATAAATTTTAATAGTTTTACCTGATTTTTGAATAGACCCGTATAGTTTTTTTTTGACCGGGGATCCTTATAGTTTTTTTCCACCAAGCCCTTATAAATTCATTATATCTTTAATCAGGCCCTTTGTAGTTCTTTTTTTTCCCCTGCTTTTTATAAGGTCCCTATAACTTGACTTCATTTTTAATCAGATGCTACACTCCAGATGCTTGATTTAAAAAAAAATAAAAAACTATAGAGATCCATTTAAAAATCAAGTAAAAATATAACAACTTGATAAAAAAAATTATAAGAACCTGATCAAAAATCATGTGAAACAATGAGGACTTTACAGATTAATTTTCGTAGAAAATTATGATGAATTCTTAATAATGAGCTTAAAGAAAATATAATTTGTTCGAAAAAAAGTAAAGAAAACATATATGCTAAGATGAAGATAAGGGAAGTAATTATAAACTGACTAATTTATTTTTATGAAATCTATTTTTATTATTTATCAAAAAAATAGGTAAAATACGATGTTCCAAAAAGTAATGATATGATTTATCAGAATAGGGAAAAATAGATCAAAGTATGAAAAATGTTATTAATACTACATATAAATATATGACTATTTGTACTAAATTAAAGAAATCAAACAAGAAATAATTTCTTTTTGATCATTTCAGTTAAAAAAAAACTTATTTTTATTGTGTATTTCGTGATAACTTGTATGTTGCTTAGCTAACATCACATGGGTCCTAATTCAGAGATCATTAACTTATTGACTAATGCTTATAATTGCGAAAATTATAAGGCCTCAATAAAACAAAAGCTACATGTCAGCCAAAAAAAGTTACAACAAGGGTCTAAAAAAAAATTCAAATAAAACAATGAGGACTTACCAATTGGTTTTTTTTCTAAATAAAACTAAAATTACAAAGACTAAAGTAAAATGCTCTCCCTTTCTTCACGGACGTCAGGATCACTTTAAACTTTGAAGTGCCTCCAAAGTTAACTGACATCCACAATAAGGTTACATTTTATTTCACTACACTTTTCTGATATATATTGAGTGATATTGTTTACAGGGCTGTGAAATTAATTTTCCTTGGATATCCACGCAAAGATCAAGAGGAGCATTGCTTGAAGGAGCAAAATGAGTTGGGTTTCCTTAAGCAGAAAAATGATATGGGTTGGCGAGAGCATTGAAAATATGGATTGGTTTGAGATATTTAATAATTGGTTTGAAAGCGTTAAGAATTGGGTTGGAGAAGTAAAAGGGAAAGGAATAAGTGAAGAATAATGGAAGAAGGGCTAATTTTTTATCGTTATAAATATTAATCTTGAAGGAAACTTATACGTCTAATATGATTATGCTATGCTTGTATTAATGTCTGTGAGACTCATGGCACTTGTATGATGGGGTAACAAATACTCAAGCATTCTAAATATGATATAACATCTTTGAAAATGAGAATGCATGCAATTAGAGGTTGAACATGCAAGTTAACGTGAAATAAGAGAACAAAATAACCTTAATGAGATTTAGTATTTGGATGAAGCAAAAGTATGGAAAATGAATTTGTTTGGTCACAAAAATTTTCATTTAAGCAATACACATCTTAAGTTTTAAAATGAGTCCTAATTTGCTAAAATTAGATGTTTATATTGAAATATATGAATTTTTAAAGTTGGCATAAATAATATAGTTAGAAAGTACAAAATGACCAAATGAATTGTGCATAGGTTGCTTGCTATTTTGAAATATGTTTGGTTAATTAACTGGGCTGGTTTATATTTTTCCCCTGAAGAGGATAAAAGTTTCAATTAGAGAGTTGAATTAACTATTCCGTTTTGATTTTTTTAGGATTGGTTATGACTTTTCAAAATTTGCCACAATTAAGAAAGCCATAAAGTAAATAGTGATCATAGTAATTAATTTAAAGGTTTGAGTTGTTTAACAATTCTAGATCATAAAATGGATCAAAGTGGTTTCAAAATTGTCTCCTTTGATCTCTTGAGCAAGGAAAGTGGGGTGTGACACTATCACTCTCACTTTGTCGATTTTCCCTCTACCCTTTCTCGTAAGTGGTGATTTTTTTGCTCCTGTCATAGAATGCTTCATTTTTCCTTCTTCTTCTTGTTTTTTTTTTTTTTTCACCTTTTCTCAAGTTGATACATAATGTTACCTTCGGTCTTAAATATAAAACCTTGTTTATACAAACGAGGTCTTATAATTAGGACTGAAGGTAGTATCTTGTTGTTAGGTAGGAAATTTTCTCCACCACCTTAGCGTTTATGTCACCATATTTTATCCAAAAGTTTCAATCAAACAGCCAACATTGCTAAAATATACAGCCATTGCAGTTTTGGACCTTTTCAGAATCTTCGTAGGCATTTTGTTACTGGGATAACATTAGCGATAGGCGCACATTCATGAAAAATTCATCTGTATAACCCTTAACCCTTTTAAAAGACTAAGTATTTTCTTCCAAACTAAATTGTTGAACAGGTCCTTTTCCCAATTTTTCCAATAAAAAATAAGGAACAAAAGGGAGTCTGTCACAAACAATAGAAAACAGGCTCATCGTGAAAGAAGATAGAATGCGGTTGACACATGATGGTCACCAATTTATTCTCTTTCTACATATATACTATCTTATCATTTTTTTAATATAAGAGCTAGTTTAACATTCAATTTGGTTCTAAATATAAAACTTCAATTCACTTTGTCTCTCATATTTATTTACTTTTTTTTAAAGTAGTCTTTCTAATAGTTGCATATATTAAATGTTCCATCAAATAATAGTTTTAGCTAATACACATGATTAGCAAGAGTATTCTAAGAAAGATAACATATATTTACTATAAATAACTAACTAAATAAAATAAACTTTTTTAATCTGTTTAAATTAGTCAACTAGCTTAAGCATTGGATTTAGTACTTTTTTTTTAATTGCTTGTACTAAGGGTCCATCCAACAAATCTTGTCCGCCTTGAGGAATAGCTTTCTAAATAAAATGAAGGTGTTTGGGTAAAAATAAAATCATAGTTTCTGATATGCTTTTACGGTATACGAAGTAAAGTCATTGAGAAAAGAAAAGGTTGCAAAAGTAAGTATCCACTATACATGAATGATAATGCTGTCCCTTTGATCACTGGAGTTTGAATTTCACCTAGCTTTACTGATATATGTGTGTGTGTGTGCGCGCGCGCGGGGATATATAGATATATCCACACAAAAATCAGGAGGAGGGTTGCCTGAAGGAGCAAAATGGATTGGGTTGCCTCAAGCAGAAAAATGAAATGGATTGCTGAGAGCGGCAAAAATTGGTTTGAGAGTACTAAAAATATGAATTGGTCGGAAAGCACTGGGAATTGGTTTGAGAGCACTAAAAATATGAATTGGTCGGAAAGCACTGGGAATTGGTTTGAGAGCACTAAAAATATGAATTGGTCGGAAAGCACTGGGAATTGGTTTGAGAGCATTGAAAATATGAATTGGTTTGAGATATTTAAGAATTGGTTTGGGAGCCTTAAGAATTGGGTTGGAGAAATACAAGAGAGAGGAATAGGTGATGAGGCTTGGAATTTCCTGGTTGGAGCAGGTAAGGTTCTTCTTCTTGTTGCTGCTATCGTCTGTTTGTGTCTATGTTGTTATTTCGGCTTAAACATAATTCTGAGTGTGATTAGTTGGACGATCGGTTTCATTTTACAATGTTTTTGGGTTCTTCTCAAATTAATCGGTTCGGCAATCAAATTCATATTACGATGTTGTTGGGTTCTTCTTAAACCAATTGGTTGGGCAATCATATACATACTAAGATGTTCTGGCGTTCAACTAATGAGAGCACCTGGTTTGGCGGCGATCATGATTCCGAGAGCCCTCTTTTCACTTAGCCCCAGAACTTACTTTGCACTTGTACGCTGCATAGGTCTGTGAAAGAAGCAGAGATCGATCCATCAAGATCTACAAGTCATGAACGCCTTTTCAAGCTTTTGTTTGTGTTTTCCTGTTTAATTTTGAGGTTTCTTTCTTGTTCATCTGTGTTCTATGTTGGTTGGGGAAATGAAACCATGTACTGGTTTTAAATTTTCTGTTACTTTAATTTCTTCTGCTTTTGCGTTTATAGTTTCATGTTTGATATATCATATCTATGTAATGTTATTTTTACTTAGTCCTGGAATTTACCCACAAAAAAGAAAGAATTACGTATACTTAAAGAAGAAAATTGTTACGCATTCTCACAAAAAATTTAATTACTAAAAAACCCTTACAACAAGTGAAGAATATGTAAGAATGTAATAATAAGTTCCAATAATTGATAATGGTTACTTATTTTCAGACTTTTTAACAATTATATTTTTTATGCGAGATTATGCATCATTTTTCCTACTCAAAAGGAGTCTCAGCAACATTCTCCCGTTTTTATTTGACTTGGCCGAAGCTTTGAAGTTTAAACCTTCCTTGGTCACCAAGACAGCAAGGATCATTCGGATTTGTTTTATGCTTTTTATTTTTTAAAAAAATTAAAATAAGAAAAATAGATATATGAGGTAGAGACAAAGATCGACACGTCATGCAAAAGTATACTCTGGGAGGGATAGTTCTCTTTCATGATGTTGCCTCCGTACACCGTGCTTCTTTTTGCAAGACTTTATCAATTTTTAATATTAAAATTATAATATTTCAAAATCATCCTTTATTTGATACAAAAGACGAGATGCATACGCTATTAATGTAATTAAGCCTAAGAGTTGAAGACATTTTTAAAAATGAATTATAAATATTTCATTCAATTTTATAAAAATCCTTCTATTATTTTGTTTTAAAAATAAAAATGGAGAGTAATTAATATCAGAGAGTTAGCTTCATTATTATTAGAAGAGTGGCATCTCTCCCGTAAAATATTCAAGCTCATCACTTTTATCGCAAGGACAAAAAAAAATCAAGCGCACTCGATTTTCTCAATTCAAATACTTGCACTGCTAAAAAAAAAGATCTTTGTAAACCTGTTGAAATTGGTTTTTTTAACCGAAGTTGGTGCCGGTGTAGAAAAATGCGGTTTAAGAAGTTTGGTACTTTTTACACTATTTGTATAATCAGTCTAACAAGTAAAAAAAAAAAATTGAAAAAAATTGAAAAAGATCTTCAATTTTATGATATCTGATAAAATCTCAAGCTAAATCGCAGCTTTTGGGATTTTATCAAACCACATATAATCTATATCTCATAATATCGCAACACAGTCCAACAAATAAAAAGCAGTAGAAGAGTAGAAATATTCAGATCTAATGATATGCTAAAAAAAACTAGCCAAGTTTGTGAGAAACTATCTCGACACATAAAATAAAAAATATATTTGATAAACAACGTTTGAAATATTCATTAAATACACAAATAAAGAAAGAAAATTGATGTGCAAAAATTTAGAACAAATGTGGCAGCAATGAAAATGAGTACAGATTTATGAAAATATGAGCATCCAAATGACAACAAAATAAGAACTTGAGATAGCATAGATCTAGATGCAACAAGCACATATCTCGATGCCATAAGTATGAATCTAGATGGATAGACACATATTTGAATACCATGAGCATGGATCTCTACACGATGATAATAGAGAAGTCAATAAACAAGAAAAAAATAATGAGAATGGAAAAGACAACGCACTGTAGAGGAGAAAAGCACTAAGCAGATGTCACAACACAAAAAAAAAAAAGAGCATGGAGAAGAATAGTATTGAGGTAACTAATAAACGAAGTATAAAAAGGAAATTGCAAAAGAATTTAGAGAGATTGTGAGGAAATGAAATTTAGTTTAGAAGAGGACGCCGCAAAATGAAGTGGGCTAAATCTTTAAGTTTTAAATCACCTTTTAAAAGCTTGTAAATATTATTTTTTAACAAAAATATTTTTAAAACTCTTACACTGATTGTAATAAATGCCCAACTTAGAAAGCATATTTTTACACCGATTGTATGTAGAACCAGCCTAAAAACTTATAAATATTAATTTTTAAAGAAATATTTTCAATAATTGTACACCGGTTGTATGTGAAACTAGTTTAAAAATCTATTGATATTTATAAAAATATTATCGACTATATTTTTTACGCTGTATTCGCAATAAACGGTGTAGATATAGTGTAAAATAAGTTTTCTTTCATAGTGTTGTAAGCAAAATCTTAAAGAAAAAATGGCATAAAAAGAAGTTAGAAATTGCTATATTCCAATTTAGGTACCTAAGAGGTCAAAATCCCAAAAAAGGAAGTGATGCTTGATTTGATATTTTGTAAATGTAGTTAAATGATAAAAATGCTCTTATATCAAAAAGTTTATTAATAAGTTATGAACTGACACTGACAAGTGTTAAACAGCAAATAACAAGAAAAACTGACTGACAATAAAAATTATTTATTAATAAATTGTGAACTAATAATGACAAGTATTAAATAACTAATAACAAAAGACATGCTAGCAATGACAAGTTTGATAGTTTTTTTTTAAAAAAATAGTACAAGAGTATTTTAGTCATTTGATTATATTTGCAAAATACCATATCATGCACCATTTTCTTTTATGAGATTTTAAACTCTTAGGTACTTAAATTGAAATATTATAATTTTCAATTTCTTTTTATGTCATTTTTTCAATCTTAAATGCATCCAATAAACTATCATTTGGCATGTGTTATTAATATCACATAAGAGATTTAATTAACGTCTAGACCAAGCATAGGCCAGTACAAGGCCCTAGCTAGGCAAGTGAGGCGGACGTTAGGCCTAAAAGAGTTGCCTAATACCCTATTATGTATGTATGTGGTTGCTTGAAAAGGGATGATGAAAAGAGGGAAAAATGCTTCCTTTGTGTTTGTGCCAAGGTAAAAAAAATCTGACATAACATTGAACCAGTCAAAGTAGTAGTTCAAGAGTTAATGGGTTAGATCAAAGTTAGACTGGGGTCAAACCAGTAATAATTAAAATAATAGAATTTAATTAAAATGCATAAAATATTCATATTCAAATATAAAAATAATATTTAATCTTATTTAAAGTATGCTATATTAATTATTTCTTTTTTTTCTATTCATTTTTAGTTTCCTATGTGGCCTGCTTTCTTTCTTTCTTTTCAAATTCTCTCTTTATTACTTGAGTGTCTAACACTCCAATAGTGACACACTCTTCTTGTCTTGCCATCATTGTTCATCTTCCCGCAGGTTTGGCTTCGCTCTTCTTTCTTCTTTCTTCCTTTTTGTGCTTTGTGCGTGTGACCATTCCTTCTTTAGCATCATGGTCTTGCTTATTTTACTTCTAATAGCAGCTTCCATGGTTTCTCTTTTCACAGATTGGGTTAGCTCTTATAGAGGACAACAATGGTGACGAAGTAAAATGGATAACTGTCCTTTTTCCTTCTCCTTGCCTTCGTCTCTTTTCTTCTTCAAATCTGACCTCTCCCCTTTATTTTTCATCCTCTCCTTCTTTTGGTCCTTCTTCCTTCAAATCTGACGTGCTTTCTCCATGGCTCTACTCGTTTTGCCTCTTCTTCCTCCCTTGGGAGGGAGAAAAGGGAAACAAAAACCGAGTAACCCACTCCAACCACCGGTTACCCAGTTTGAAACCTGTTTTTAATGGTTTAATTGGTTTGTTACTGGTTTAGTTTATGTCTGGTTCAACAAGTAAACCAGACCAGACTGAAGTTCGGTTCACCGGTTTTTTTGTTGAACCGGCTGGTCCGGTCTAGTTTTTTGTACCTTGGTTTGTGCTCTTCACATCTCCGAACAAGTATATTTTTCAAAATTCAAACTTGTATCCTCTTCCTTACAAAGATGAGGCCGCTTAATACCTCAACCAACAACTTGTTGATGTATTTATGTTTTCTTTCTATCACTACTATCTTAGCTAATGGGTGTTTCAAATTATTTACTAACTTGACAACCCCTTATTTGAAGTATGTTGTTTTTCAGCTTAATGTAATTGCCTTGTTATTTTAAAAAAATTGCGTTACTTGAGTTTTTGTTAATTAAGAAAGACATTGTTTTCTATTAATTTTGTTAATAACATGCATGGGGATATTATAAATCATTTAAAAGGCGTTATTTCTTATTTGAAGTATCATAGAAAAATGATGGACATGCATTTGTCCTAGTAGAAGGTGAAACATCCTATCTTTAACACCTCAGAGTACGTATTAGTAAGCGTTATGATTCAAGCAGGTCATGACACAAGCCCTTGGATTTAAAATTTTAACATAATTACGCAGGTTACTATTTACTGTTTAAATTCCATATTATAGGCTTAATTTCAAAAATTCATAACTAATTCCATAAAAATCATATTGAGGTGTTCTAAAATTCTATGAAAAGCTCTTTCAATTCTCTTTAAGGGAAAAATATCAAAATGGCCTTATCCATGACCAATTCGTACAGTTTAATCAATAAAAATTACTATTCATTTGATAAATTCTAGAACTCCTAGATTCTGTGCTTTAACTTTGAAAATTCGTATCTCTGTGTGTACACATCCAATTAAGGTGATCTAGCACTCATTTTAAAGCCTGGGATGTGTACTATAACTCTGCCAAATTTCGTGGCTTAACTCATTCATTTGATAGGTCAAACTGGAGCTATAAACTCACTGTCCCATGACCTACGTTTTATCCCTTAACCTCTTTTTATTTTAATTCTTTCTATTTCTTTGGTATACATAAATTGGGTTTACACTTTCCCAATCATTCTCATACATTTCTATTCATCCCATAAACATAGTAATTAAATACATGACATCATTGGCATCCATAACATAAATTACATAATAGGAGAATTACACATTGAATAATAACATTATGCATTAATATCAATAATTCTCTACTTTCTTCTCCTTGCCTCGCATGCCATTATTGCCCACCATTGATTGACCTAAATGGTGGTTAAGGAGGGCTGAGATTTGGGGGAATCTCAATAGTAAACATTACCTATAAGCATGCAAGACATAATGCACATGCATGACATATTATAACATTAACACATGAATGCCATGGAAAGTAAGCTAAAGCATTTCATGCTTTCATAACATATTGCCAATGCAAAACATAACATAAACTTGCAAACATAACTCGGCAAGCATTTCATCATAGCTTAGTCACATCATGGCAACACAACCACATCATGCAAGCAT